ATATTGGGAGACTGGGCAGCCTCATCTTCTTTCTAATTTTAGTGATATCTTTTTGAGTTTCTCTCCATTTAGTTGATTTTGTTTACTGTATATTGCCTTTATTATGTTTAGGCATGTTCCTTGTATTCCTGATCTCTCCATGACCTTTATCATGAAGGGGTTTTGAATTTTGTTGAAGGGTTTTTCAGCATCAAATGAGATAAATATTAGGCCTCACCCTCTGAGGAGTAGATGAGGGTAGGATAGGAGTTGGTGGGGGGGAATAGGAGAATGGGAGGAAGAGGGAATTAAGATTGTTTTTAATTTAAATGAATAAAAAAATGAAACGTTTTCTTTTATAAGTTGTCTGGGACATGGCAATTTTGTTTTCTAGCATCAGAAAATTAACTAAGCCAGAAGCTTTGATGCTAGTTATTTTTTAAATGTTTAGAAGAATTTAGCAGTATATCCATTTGTCCCAAGGCTTTTTTCTTGGTGAAAAAGGCTATGGATTCAATCTTGGTAATCATTGTAGATCCATTTAAGTTGTTTATATCTTCTATATCTAATCTTTGTAATTCATATATGTCGAAGACTTTATTTATGGCCTTTGAATTTTTCAACTTTTTTGAGTATGAATTTTCAACCTTTTCATGGGGGTCTGATGGACTTCACTGGTATCTGTTGTAAAGTCCCCCCCCCACACACACACACATACTGTTTCTAATTCCATTATTCTAGTTCATTTCTCTCTTTTGGTTAGTTGATGCTTTGTTGATCTTGTTTGTTTTTCAAAGAATATTTTGTTCGTTACTGAATTGCTCTTGTATTCTCTGTTGCACAGAATCTGCCATGATCTTTGCATCTTTCTATCTTCCTCCTTTTATCTCTGTGTCCTTTTCTTTCTCCTCTATATTTAACACATTACCATAAGTGCAAGTGGAGAGAATGGATACCTTCCCCAAATTCCTGGTACAGAGAAGATGCTTTCGGTTTCCTCCCACTTAGTATAATGTTACCTGCATGTTCCTTTTATTCCTAGTTGCTTAAGTGCTTTTTTTTTAATCATGAACCAATTAATTTCATTAAGTCTGCTCTGACATTTCTTATTTCACTCTATCTAATGCATCAAGATATTTATTTGAGATACCTCTGATTTTGTAATGCAATCACTCACAGCTAATAATACTTCAATTTGAACTGTATTTGCTTTATCTCAAATGTTCAGAGAAGTTATATTTTCCTTTTATTTGAATCTAGAATTTTTTATTCTCTCACAATTTAAATTTCATATATATTCAATTCATCTTTCCAACAAGTTCCCATCTTACTTCATTTGTGTGTGTATGTGTGATGCTGTTGTTGTTGCTGCTGTTGCTTTTGTGTGTATGTAGATGTGAGCCACTATGTTTAATTATGATTGCTTTCATGAGCATAGGTGGGAAGTTGTGTACACGAGAAAGATAAATTTTCAGCAACTATTAACTGCAAAACTTTTCAGAACAGTATGGATGAATGTAGTAAACACTTTCTTCTAGATATGGTATTGCTAGATATCTTTAGTAATCAAGACAGTATAATGTTGGCACTGTGATAGACAAGGACAATGATGTAATACTATAAAGTTCAGGAATAGAGACCATTAAACATGGATGGTTTTATCTGACAATTAATGAAGAACTGTCATATTAAAAAATAAATACTGCTAATAAAAAAAACCTAGAAATACATGTGGAGGAAAAGGCAAACTGGATCCTTGTCTCATATCACATATAAAGTTAACATAAGAAGAAGGGTGATGTCCAGGGCTGGGACTATAGCTCAATGTATAGCAGATACAAGGCCCTGAGTTCAACCCTCAGCATGGCAGGAACAAAAGCAAATGCAGCAATAGCAAAAAAAACAGGGAGGGGGGATGGAGAGAAAGTCCTGATGAGAATGTAGTGAAATTGTAATACTGGGCTTTTTTAGTGAGAATAAAAAAACAGAAGAGCAGCTGCTATAAACAGTTTAGTGGCTATTCAGAATATTAGAAATAGGCAATGAGTATGTGTCCACTGATAGAATGTCCACTTAACACATATAAGGCCCTGGATTCAATTCCTAGTACCAAAGAGTTTTAAAACTTTGAAAAAATGGAAATACCATATGATCCAGCAATTCTATTTCTCCCATTCCCCCCAACATAGAAAATATTTTCTTAAGGAGATGTTACATACTCATATTCATGGAAGCTTTACTCATAGTCATTTATGGGAGGGAAGCATAGATTGAAAGAGGCAGGAATATACATGCTCTCAAGGTGTTCTACTGAGAGAAATAAGACAATCTCAGAAAGACAGCCTATCTTTTCACTTATGTGAAGGACTTAGAATATTCAAAATGCTGGAGAGAAAAAGAAGAATGGAAGTTTTCAGGGGGTTGGATGCAAGGGGAATATGGAGCAATTGTTTAAAGTATATAGAAGATTAATTTTACAGGATGAGAAGATAGGCAATAGCACTTTGGTTAAAATTTTAGCAGTTTAGTATGTTTAATTTTTGAAACCCACAAATTTTAGGCAAATTATTAGTTATTCTTAAGCATTTTGATCTCAATTTCTATTATGTCAATTTTATTCTCTGGTATACATTGCTCTATGCTTCCAAGGGTTAAAATCCAGTGTTGTTAGGCAGTGGTGTCACACACCTTTAATCCCAGCACACAAAAGACAGGGGCAGGCAGGGGCAGGTTTGAGGCCAAGCTGGATTATAGTGTGAGTTCAAAGATACCCACCCAGGCTATACAGAAAATCTCTTTCTTGAAAAAAAAAATCCAGACAGTTCTCTTCCTCAGTCCTTATGTTTGGAGCCTCTGAGCACCTCTTTTTCCATTTTTCACAATATCTGAAACATGAATTACATCTATACTAGGTACCCATTATCCAGCTCCCTTCTAAGCTTATGGGAATCACTATTCTATGTCCAGATCAACCAAATTTAGCTTCCTACGAGAGAAAGCATGCAGTGTTTGCCTTTGGGGGTTTTATTTATTTCACTAGCTTCCTATACCTCTATTTAGTAGCAAAAGACAGAGTTCATTACTTGTTATAGCTGAACGATATCCAATCATGTTTATATCCACAACTTCTCAACATTCACTGATGGACACTTAGGCTGATTCCTTATCCCTGTTGTGACTGGCAATATTAACACTGAAGGGCAGGTGTCCATTCAATGTGTATCAGTGTTACTTCCTCCAGTATTATACCTACTAATAGAACTGCAGATCATATGGGTGTTTGATTCTGTATTTTTCAAAAACTTCCATGTTTTTCCTATAATGACTAATACATTTATATTCCTACCTACACTGTATGAGAGTGTCTATTTCCTTACATCCTTGCCAGCACTGTGTGTGCCCATGTACATTTAAATTTTTTTATTTTATTTTAATTATGTGTGTGGCCTTGTTAGAGGAGTATTTTGGAAATCTCCCTTGCTCCCTTCATACTGCAGAAGCTTTAGTCTGACATAATCCCATTTGTCTATTTTTTGTTTCTATTGACTGTGGGTTTTATTTTGTGTTTGGGGGTGGGGGAGGGAGAGTCTTTTCCCAAAGTCATTGTGATTGTTTGAATAAGAATGGCCCCCATAGGAACATAGATTTAAATACTTGGTCACCAGATAATGGCACTGTTTGAAGGGATCAGAAGGTAAGACCCTGTTTAAGTAGGTGTAGTCTTATTGAAGAAGGTGTGGCCTTGCTGGAGGAAGTGAGTCATTGGAGGTGGGCTTTGAGGTTTCAGAAGCCTAAGACAGGCCCAGTATCTCTCACTACCTGCTGCCTGCAGATGGGGATGTAAAACTGTCTGGTACTCGCCAGAAACACATCGGCTTGCATGCCACAATACACTCTGCCATGACAGTAATGGGCTCAACCTCCAAAGTTGTAAGCCAGGCCCAATTAAATGCTTTCTTTCATAAGAGTTGTCGTGGTCATGGTGTCTCTTCACAATAACTAAGATAGTCATAAGCATATTTAGACATTGAAGTATTTCTTCTATATTTCCCTGTAGTAATTTCACAGATTCAAGATTTACATTATTGAAGCTTTTCGAGTTGGTTTATGATCTGTGAGAAAGGGGTTAATTTCTCCAGTTTTTCCAGCATCATTTATTGACTGCTTTCTATGATGTAAGATTTTGCTGACATTGTCATAATCAATTTGCTATAAAAGAATGGATTTTATATGGATTTTATTTCTGGGTTGAACTTTCCTTTGGCATGTCTATTTTTCTGGTAATACTCTACTATTTTGGTTGCTGTGTCTCTGAAGTATATTTTGAATTTGTATTTTGTGGTGTTCTCTGTTTGCTTTCTGTCAGTCTTTACATCATAGAGATCATTTGTTCCCTTGGTTCAATTTCACTCTAAGCACTTAAATAAAAATTTTTAGTATGTTTTGTGAGGTTGTTCTCTTATTTTTTTTTCAGCAACTTTTTCCAGGTATATGGAAAGATATGCTGTTTGAATATTGATTTGTGTCCTAGAACTTTACTAAATTTATTAGTTCCAATGTTTTTTAAAAACTGGAATCCTTAAGGTTTTTCCATAGTTAAAATTACACTATAGGTTGTTTGAGCTCTTCTTGTTTTCACACTCTCATTTTCTCTTATTGCTGTGAGATTCCCAATACTATCTTGTATCGTAATACTGTGCTATGAGGTTCTTATCACATACAGTCTTTGCTTTGTTTGAGTACTTATATTTTTTTAAACAAAATTTTATTACACAAAAGTTGTCACATAATTGGATACTTCTCTACTTTGTACACAATTATTCTCACTCTCCACAGAGAGGCTGCTTCTGAACTCATCTGGTGACAGCACTACAATCCTGACTGTAACAGAACAGAACTGCCTCAGGGGTTTAAGTTGAAAGCAGGACAGTGGTATATGGCTCTTTCACCCAGTATCAGGAACGTACAAATGTCTTTATTCAAAAATACAAAATAAATTATCTGTAGGCATGGACAATGACAGCAGTAAACCATTATATATTGTCAATGGGAACCAGTAACTGATGGTTATAGTGATCAGCCAGCCTTCTCTTCAGTTATTTTCTTCAGGTGACTTCTCTGAAGTTACCGCTGAGGAACCTGCCTTGAGCTTCCTGTCACAGTTCATTGATAAGGGTAAACAAAGCACTATTCTAGGAATTAGAACATGCCACCTCCCATACCCCCTCCCATTCCACCCATTGTGCCCATTCCAGAGTCCTTCTCTTCTTTAGGAATTTCTGTCACTACAGCTTCTGCTGTAGTTAGCAAGGAGGCCACCCCAGCAGCAGCCAGTAAAGCAGTTCTCACAACCTTTGTTGGATCAATGATTCCTTTTTCCACCATGTTCACAAAATCTCCAAGCATAGCATCATAACCAACTTCTGAGGAACTCTGCAGAATTTTCTCAACTATCAAAGATCCTTCAACACCTGCATTCTTAGCAATTGTCATTGCAGGAGTTTTGAGTGCTCTTTTAATAATATCTATATCTATTTTTTGATCTTCATTAGAAGGCTTTAATGAATCCAAGGCTGGAATGCACCGAAGCAGAGTGTAGCCCCCTCCTAGAACAGTGCCTTCTTCAACAGCTGCTCTTGTAGCATTGAGAGCATCTGTAACCCTGTCTTTCTTCTCATTCACTTCAACATCACTTGTTCCTCCAACCTTCAACACAGCCACTCCATCTGAAAGTTTAGCGAGTCTCTTGTTCAGCTTTTCCTTTTCATATCCACTAGTTGTTATGTCTAGCTGCTCAGTGATTTCTTGAAAGAGTACTTATATTTCTTTATATTTAATATCTTTAGAACTTTGGCCATAAAGGGAAATAGACTCCTTTTTTTTTTTTTTTTTTTTTCTGAGTCTGGATCATCTCAACTAATATAATACCCTCCAGATCTATCAATTTTCCTATGAATTTCATTCTTTTCATAGAAATTTTGTAATCATAAAGTTTAATTATAGTTCAGGAAAAGTGAATAAATAGCTTCTTTAAAACAAAACAAAACAAAACAAAAAAGATTATGATGTGTGAACTACAGTTATTTGGAGGCAGGAAACCACCACTAACTAACATCCCTACATTTTCTACCTTTCTTATAAATGTCCTGCCCTATTTCTAGTGTTATTAAAAAAATACTTATATGCCCCCAAATTGGCTGAAAACACAAGCAGAAAAGGCTGCACTGTTGCTGGAGTCTTCCTGTCCTGCAAGGCCCTGCTGTTTCAGCTTCAAATGAACACATAGAGATAGTATATTAGCTATTAAACTGTTGGCCGATGGCTAGGGCTTCTTATTGGCTAGCTCTATCTTATTAACCCATTTCTATTAATCTAAGTATTTCTGTGTGGTCTTATCTTACCTGAGGAAGGTCTGGACCTGTTACTCCTTCCTCCCCTATATGGCGTCCTGTGGAGGTCTCTCTCTGCCTCCCTTTCCCAGAATTCTCCTCATCTCCTAGTTCAGCCTATCTTCCTGCCTCAATTGGACAGTGTTTTATTCATCAACCAATAAGAGAAACGTAGAAGGACAACCCCCCATCACTGCACATCTAAGGGACACAGTAGGTCTCAAGAGAAAATTTCAGAGATACCCTGAGTGGCAGCAAGACACATCTGACTGGGATTTGCAGTTCTCCAGTTGCCTCTGTCCTCTGTGTCTACAGATGTGTGAGAGGTGAAAATAACTGAAATCCCCTTTGGTCAGTAAAGCAATCATCTTGGTTCTGATCATCCCTTGAGTAATTCTCCTGAATGCTGCCCATTGCTTCTTCATCAAAGCAAGTCAAAGCACTTCTGAAGATATCTCTACGATCTACACCATTGATTTTTCTCTAAATACTAAGAACCATGGTGCAATGCATGGGGCCTCATCCATCATGCTATCCAGATAGGCATTTGTTTGCTTGATGTTTCCCCAGCAAAGAGGCACATTCTACCAATATTATTGTCAGAGCCACCATTTCTGTTTTGGTCAATCAAGGTGAAGGCCATTTTAACTTCAAAATTGGGATGTCAACAATTTGAACACCTTGGCTGTATTGCTGTGGATACATTTTTGTGGCCTTGAAGTTTGCACGTTTGCTTCACATTAGGTGTCTAAATCCCTGAACATCCAGGAGAGTTCTAGAACTGGAGCTAAAACCTGTGCTGACATCTTGCTTGTACAAATAAAGCCTGTCTGAAGGTCAGAGAATGGAGCTTGTCACTAGCTAACCATAGATGTCTGCAGGTCTGTACAGGCAGACAGGAAGGAGATGGCTGGGGAGAGAAAGGATGTAAGTGACAGAAACAGGGACTCACTTTCTTGTGTGCTGAGACACTAAAGAGGTAAGGTGTAGCTGTGGCTCGCTCATTCTTCTCTCTGATCTCTCTGATCTATATCTGGCTTTGGGTTTTATTAATTAGACTAAGTAAGAACTCCATTTGGTGCCCAATCTTTGACGAGAATTTCCACATAAAACTTGACAAAAGCTTAAAAAGGATTCTGAATGCACAGAAATGGGGGAGATGCACTAGGTTTCCTAGTCTCACAGTCTCACAAAATTCATGATACATAGATGCTGTGGCATTCGGGTTTGAGCACAGTATGTTCGATTCTCGCTATGGTACACAGAGGCTGTCTGCAAGTTGCACAGCATGCTACATGGCAGATTTAGCTTTTACTCATACAGATGAAAAGGTTTATGTACAATGGGTTACAAACTGCTTGATGGCAGTATAGACCAGAGTCCAGGCAGTGAGCATAGCCCCCCCACCCCCAGAGTTGGTGGTAAATGGACCCGCACCAGTTTGGAAAGCCCAACTTGGTGGAGCCAGCAGTCAAAACGTCTGCTTTAATCTTAGCCATGCAATTTAACAGATTAAAGACTTGTGGCCAGAAAACGATAGAGATATACAGTAAATACAGATTCAGATGAAGAAAAACCTCTAGACATTTCACAGTGTGTTTAAAAATATACATAGGCTTGGGAAAGAAAAGAAAAAGGATAAAGTTCTTAAAAAAGAAAGAGTAGCTGGGCATGTGGCACACACCTTTAAATTCCAGCATTTGGGAGGCAGAGGCAGGCAGATCTCTATTATTTCAAGGCCAGCCTGGTCTACAGAGTGAATTTCAGGATAGGCAAAAGTACACAGAGAAGCCCTGACTTAAAAAGTCAATAATAATAATAATAATAATAATAATAATAATAATAATAATATCAAAATAAAAAATCAAAAAAAAAAGAAATACAGTGACTAAAAAGTCCATGTAAAGATGGAAAATACACAGAGAGTCCGGACATTGTATGTTATTGTCTTGTCTTTGAATTGTTTGATTGCTGAGGAAGGCACAGCCGCTGCTAACAGACATTTGATTATAAATGCTGCTGGACTAATCCAGCATATTTATTTTGAAAATGCCTTGATTTCAAAATTTAAGTCTAAGGACATGTTACTTTGGAAAAGAGGTTCTGATTTTGTTTCCATAGAAGAAAAGCTGTGCATTCTGTCCAGATTAATATGGTTTGATCAATCAAGACCCCCTGAACCAGTGGCCCAGGTGATCCAACATCCTTGACAACTGAGATAATGCAGCCTTACAGAACTTTCAGCCAGGAGTTTGCCACGATTATGGGTTTTCTAAGGATCCCCATGGTATTGACAGCACCCCCAAACAGCAGTTTGGAGACAACAACACCCAAATTCCCAGATATTATTTATAAATATTTGCTTTCATTTAAATGGGGTTGCCTATAGTTAATGCTCACAGTCAATTCAATCTCTTTCTAAAAAAATTTTTTTTTTGCATTGGTGTGGATTTTGGTTTATTGATACAGATTTAATTTCAATTTTATATGTATATTTCTACTCTTGTTTAGGTATTATGTTTAAACAGCTCATTTAAAAATTTCAGTTATAATTTAAAAATACAGATTATAAATAGCAACCTATAATAGTGAAAACTTATAGTTATTTTAGTTAGGTTTTCCAAATATACAAGAGATATATTTCAAATGGATACGCATTCTTCAAAACCTTTCAAAGACCTATAGAATACAGCATTTAAAATGGTTTAATAGGATTTTTCATGACAATGAGACACAACTGCTTCTGGCAGCACCAATTTCATCAGAGAAGGAGATGGGCATCAGAGAAACTTGTTATGGAGTTTGCCTTCAACATGGCAGGAATAGCCATTTGGACAAGAAACGACAAGAAACTGTTCTTTCCTGGACTGCTTGACACTATGCTGCCCAAACTGGGCAAACAGGTTACAAAGAAAACTGACTGTTGAACTTGACAAGGGACAGGATGGTCCTTCAGGGTTCCTGTTTCATCAAAAAAGTCTGCCAGACATTCTAGTCCTATAGGCTGAAGAGGGATGCCCCAACATTACATATGAATTTTGGGTGGTTGTCCAGGCAGTGAGATGACTCTGTCAATCCTAGAGTTTATATACTCTCCTTCTACGGTCTTTGATGGAGTTGAAGACAGGTAGTTTTATCATAACTTAGTTATGATAAAAGTTATGATAAAAGATAAGTTTCATATAAAACTTTAGACTCACAAAGATAGGATAGATGGTAAAACATTTCCTTTAAATCTTGTCAAGTGTTAGTGGACTAAATATTGTTAACTATAGGTTTTGCTTGATAACTGTTTTGTTATATATAATTTTACTATTTATTTAGACAGAAAAGTGGGGATGATGGGGGGTGTCATTCTGTATGCTGTGAATATATGTTTCTTTTATTGGTTGATGAATAAAGCTATTTTAGTCAATGTAGCCAGACAGGAATATGGGCTGGGCTATCAGACTACGAGATTGCTGGAAGGAGGAGCACAGATGGTGAGTCACTAAGGGGATGCCATGTACCTGCCTAGGAAAAAGGATGCCTGGGCTTCACCGGTAAGCCAAGCCCACGTAGAGATACATAGAATAATAGAAATGGGCTAACAATTGAGAGAGAAATAGTCAACAAGAAACCTGAGCCATAGGCCAAGCTGTTTATAATTAATATAAATCTCCATGTGTGTATTTGGGACTGAAGGGTGGCAGGACTGGGCTGCACAGAAACATCCGTGTGCAAAAACTCACTGTAGCTATTATTCTTTATACAGCAGCTAAAACACATTACTTTGCTTAACCATTGGAAAGGAAGCCTGAAAGGCAAAGGGCCACTGTGGTCAGTGGGCCAGATCCTCACAGGTCTGCGGGAGACCAGAAAGAATGTGGCGGGATATGTAATAATGGTTCATCAGCTCTGATTACTAACTTACAACCTCTGATTACAGTCTCCCCCTCCATTTTTCTCTCTCTAGATAGTTATATCTGTCAATCATGTGGCTTTACTTTTCATCCTATTGTTATATTATGTTTATTAGCATGCATGTTCACCATCTTTGCATTCCTTGTATTATTCACTTGATTATGGCATACAATCATTTTATATGCTATAAAATTTGATTTCCTGGCCTTGAATTGATTCATCAGAGAGTAGAGAGTAATGGGACAATTAATATATACCTAGCGAAATGTAGCAGATGTATGAGAATTTTTCCCTACATGTTCATGAAAAATACTGACCTATAATTTTGCCTCCTTCCCTCCCTGCCTGCCTGCCTGCTTCTTTCCCTTTCTCTCTTTTTCTGTCCCTTCACTTTTAGTCTACTGCATCTTTAGTAGTGAAGTTGTTTTATTTGTATGAAGCATATGACTGAGTCTTAAATGCATCCATTCAAGCTGTATCTTTTAATTAAGGAATTCAGTCCATTTGTAGTCAAGGTTACCACT